CCCCCCCCCTCATGTATTTCACTGCAATACTCTTTTTCCTCATGGTGATCATGTATTCTCGTCCTTATTGATATTATTCTTGGTGGTGTAATTAATATATCCATTGCTGGAAAAGTTCAGTTCATTAAAGTCAATGAATAAAACATTTTCCCCTTTGGGAAGGATAACCGTGATTTTATCGATCTGATGCAAAGTGCTACCGAATAAAGGCGCGAAATAAATGTAGCGCGTGGTTCTCACCTCCGTGAAAATAAGTATGGCAACATAAGTCTGTTGCCTCTCTCATTACTCCTAATATCGATGGTCGAGGAAAGTGTTGATGATGTTCGGCGTTAATTTCAAGGATTCTTGAGATCTTATCCTTATCTATTTACTAAACATATACTAATAACGATATGCTCATTAAATTATTCCACTTTACTCCGTTGTGTATTGCGAATGTCACAATGGCAAAGGATGGTCAAAAATGTGCTAGACGGCTGCTAAATGGTGACTTTAAACTTGTTGTCATTGTTTTTTTTCCCATTCATCGGTGCCCATAACTTTATATTTTCAGATAAAAATAAAACTTTTAAGCTTTGATGTACAATATTTTCCTTGCGATTTATCTATGCATGTACGTTCTTCACGGTGTGCGACCATTGGTAAAGCATTATGCAGATTAATATGAATAGATATGTCTCATGTGGGTTGATTTTGCAAAAGGAGTTGGCAAGAAACAAATCCCTATTTTGGAAAGCCAAGCATACGAAAACGTTTGGTGTGTGTGTGTTTGTGCTTGTTAGAATAGGTAGATTGGACCATGTCTGCTGCTCCCTTGGGATTTTCTAACATCGTTGGAATAAATAGTCCTTTCCACCCCAGTTTTGGCCATCCATTGACGCCAATACCTAGTAAAGAAGAACAAACGTATATAAATAAATATATATATATATGTATATATATATATATATATATATATACACCTACATTTTACAGACTCCTTAGTCTTTTTTGAATATCTCATACACCCCCCCCCCCTTACCATGCACAAAGCGCGCGTTCGTACGGAGTCGATGGTGCAGCGCTTCGCGAAGAAGCCGATCAGTGAGGGCTTTGATCTCTGGGATTGCGGTTACCTCTTCGGCGCGCTCCGGCTGTTCATGTTCAAGGCTGAGAGTGGCCCGCCCTTCCAGCTCGGCCCCTGCATCGACGCGATCGCGGAGATCTCCGTCCAAATGGGCTCCCCGGAGGACGCGAAGGAGCAGTTCCTCCTCGCGGCCGACAAGTACCGCATCATCCAGCAGCCCATTCTCTCCGAGCTGATGCGGATCAAGCTGGCGGAACTGATCTCGGGCCCCGCCGCCGCGCTGGAGCACCTCGAGGCCTACCTCGAGGAGCAGGACCCGGAGCGCGCGGGGAAAGGGGCCTCGGCGGATATGAAAACCCGCTGTGCCCTCGCCCGCAGCTACGCCTACCTCGCGGAGCTCTACCTCGCGCGAGGGGACGAGGACGACGTCGCCGACGCCGCGCGCGCGGTCGAGCTCGCGACCCTGGCGGTCACGCTCGGCTGGGATCGCGTCCACCTCGGCGCGCTCGTCCTGGGAAAGGCCTATGAGGTGATGGGGCAGCTCGAGAAGGCGCGGGACGCCTACATCCAGGCGATCCAGCACTGCCCCCGCTACCTCAACGGCTTTGAGTACCTCATCGACGTCCTCCGCCGGCTCGCCGTGCCGTCGAAGGAGCTGCTGCCGTATATGGATCAGGCCATCGACGCCCACCCCCGCGCGCATCTCCTGCGGGAGAAGGCGTTCATCCTCTCCGAGGTCGAGGGTGACGACGCCGCGCTCGTTTTCCTCAAGGCCCTCATCGCATCGCCGCCGCTGGAGGAGATGGAGTGCGTGAGTTACGATAACAGCGGGCCGACACTGGCGACGCTGCTGAAGGCGAAGGCCGCCATTTTGGCGGACGGGGGGCGGTTTGTCGAGGCGCTCGAGGCCGCCGAGGAGGCAGTTAAAGCGTGCGCGAAGGATAAGGAGGCGGAGATGATAGTGGCGGATATCAAGGAGGCTATGAAAGCGTAGAAAAGGGCGATATAGGAAGGGAAAGGGAAGGGAGAGGGAGGTGCGCACGCCCGTCTATGGTATAACTCGTTTAAGATAAGTACTGGTCACATGAACTTGGAGTCATTTTTCCTCCTTTTTTGTGTAAAGAAGGGCAAGTAAAGGTGCTTTCAAATGCGGAGATTCTCTGATATGCAATAATATGCATATATATTTTTTGCTTTGAACGCGATGTGGTCTATTTTTGACCAATATAACGAAAGGAACAATACAGGGAAAAAAGTCGCAAAAATTCAGTCTATCATTAGCCCTTGCAAGGAAAACTGTAGGGTGTTCTTCTTGTCCTCATTTGGTTTGCATTATCAATGTGTTTGCTTCTCCGTTGCTGACTTCCCCCCTCCTTCCCCGAGCAAGATGTTCTATGCGGCTTGCTTCCAAAGAGGAAGTAAAAAGGAGATATTGATAGGGACCCTTCTCCCTCAACGCCCTTGTTTACTGTTTCGTTAAAGGGGGGGAAACCTCCTGAAGATTATAATCCGGTAAAATTTACTATTATTTTCATGACACGTTTGCTGATATGCATAGTGATGAAATGCATACGCTTGTATAATGAATAAAAATTAAGCAAAAGGACATGTCTGGCGGGATTTCTCGTATATGAATAATCTATTTCCCTCTTCCAGAGGTTTACCCGCCCTTTTTGGAGAAAAGACGAAGAAATCAAATGGATCAAAAAAATGAGAAATAGAAAATAACATTTTGCCACTCTTGTTGTGTGCATACATGTGTGTGGACTTGTGCTTTCTCTTTTATTTTGTTTCTACTTTCATGTACACGCTCGTATCTAATGGGTTTAGAATATTTTTAAAAAAGTATATCGAAAGCATTCCCAAAGATGCCCCTATCAAGAAGAAAGAAACGAAAGGAAGACTCATTATATTTTGTCTTGTCATGCTAATAACATGGTGTGGTATTTCATAAATATTACGGTGCATATATACATTTATACCTCTTGTCACATTATGTGTGTATTAGGAGGTGTTCATCTCATTGTTCTTGACGAAAGGTGCTCTGTTGTGTTTTTCATTCGCTTTATGAATTCCTCGCCTAGATGTGGCAAAATGAAACGTTTACCTTCCTTGCTATCGGATCATTAAACACTTTTTGTATTACTTCTCTACCTCCATTTTTATTTTTATTTTTTAGTTTATTAATGAATTTCTTTTTAGTCTCCATCTCTGACCAAGCAAGAAAATACGCATTTCTACCTTATATATATATATATAATTTTTTGTATCAATATTTTTCACTATTGAAAGGAAGACTACATTGGTGAAAAAAAATCAAGCTTTTGATCATTTTATCCAATACTTCACAAAGTTGCGCGCTAAGGAAAGCACCTTTAGGTCCTTTATACGTACATACCTGCATTCGCATGTATATGTATATATAATATACACTTAAAAGACGTTATTTCTACTCTATTTACTATTTGTATCTGACAAGAAGGAATAAAAGGGAACACGCATATATACATATACACATAAAGAAAAAGAGAAAGTAACTCAAAGGCTATACTTTACCTTTTAATTCTCTACTTCTCGTTGACGGCATTGTATGTATCACCGGGGCTACTTCTTACCTCTCATTTACTCCACTATATTGACGCAATTTACTGTCACTTTTCACAAATAAAAGGAAAATTATATGTAAAAATATACATGTGTATATATATACATATACATTTGATTGCTGCATTACTCCCTCCCTCCGCCCCCCCTCCCTCCCTCGCTCGCCTCTATTTTACCGTTGCCTGATCGTCAATACGTACGTGAATTTTGGCTCTTCATCGTGCTATTCAGCACTCTATTTCACGAAAATTCGATTTCCCTATTGGCAATTAAGCTATTCTTCTTAGATTACTTTACGCATCTGTTATATTTCCTCCCAGAGCGCACTTATTATATTGGGTCAGCGTTCAAGAGGGGGTGAAAAGTTGGAACCGCATCACAGCTATTGGTTTTAGTGTTCCCAGCTTTCTTTAAGGAAAAAAATCGAAAGGGGAAATTGTCGGCAGAATAGCATCGGAGACTCCCAATTCACCCCTTGCAACCTTGCGGACAACAGCGTAAAATAGGACATAGGGAGCTGAGAAAACTCAACGTGTGTAGCATTTCCAAACGTTACGAGTACTTTTCTCGATCTAAAGCAAAAAACAGAAAATTGCGGTTCGTAAACCGCTTAGCATACTTCATTACGACAAGCATCGCAGAAAGGAAAAAAAAACTTTTTCATCATTGTTCTAAGGCCTACCGTATTATATTCTTGAGCGAAGAGGGCATACACATTGAACAGTCATCCAACGGAAGTAACTCTAAAAAAATATATCTGCATTATTTTCGACTTTTATTATTGTTCTGAAGCTTGAAATTCCGGCTTGCTTATTTCTTTTCTACGAGTGTTCTTTAAAGAACATATATACATGCATTATGGCCCATGCACCACGCCTCTCCCCAGCGGCATCCCTAACCATGCTGATGCCCTCGGAAGCCAACTCCAAGAAAGTTACTCCTCCTCATAATGCAGGCTGGCTAAACACACGATATGGGCATCGAAAAAAGAAGAAAAACAGAAATAGGAAGCCATATCCTGGCCAGCTGACTTCGTCTAATACGATATCAACCCCCACGAGGGCTGAGGACATCCTAGAAGACAATCCATTGGCAACGCATGATCCTTCTGAAGCGGTAGCAGCGAACGTGCTGTCCATCTCCGAAGAGCTAAAGGAAAAAGATAGGCCACAACCTGGCAATGAAACGATATCGAAGCGTCGTGATAGTGGTACCACTCGAGGTAGAGGAAGGAACGATGAATCATCGAGGCGGAGGATCCTGTACAAAAAGAAAGGGCTCAATGAGAACAGTCGACATCGAAAGTCTGATCCAAATCAGTTGAGAAGAATCCGAAAGATACGGGAAGATAACTTCTGTGAGACGACCTCCACCGTCGAGGGAACGGCGAGAAGCGGCATCAAGAACGATGTCTCGAGCCGTTTTCCCTCTGTATCGGCGCCGAGCACCGCCGCTGTGACGCCAATTTTGCGAGGAATATCCAATCCCAACGCGGTGGTTTCAACCTTGTTTCCCCTACCGCCGCCCCGTGAAGAAAGCGAGCATGCTCACTCCGGAAAAAGGAAAACCCCATCAGGCTCAACATTAACAGCGCATCCACTAGTTAGCGATCCGGTGATCGTATCGCTACGGTGCGCTGCGGTTGAGGGTATCAAGCAAATCGAAGACGACAGCCCTACAGAGACGCCACCCCCACAACCCTATAAGGATACGCAGGAGGGCAAGGCCGAAGTCACAGCAACCGCCCCTCTTGATTTGCCGCTCAAACAGACGGTAGGGCTCCCTCCAAGCGCGCAAAAGCAGACTGTCTTTAGGAAAACACAATTGAGCACCTCTTCTTTGCAGATTAGCGTTGCAGATCAGGGTGTGGCTTCTCTCGAGGGAGTTGCTCCCCATCCTCCCTCTTTAGCTAAGGCTGTCGTGAGCGCAGCGCTTTCCTCATCTGGGTTGAATCCGTCGCCAACATCGCAGCGACCACCGCTTTCCCCCTCAACAACAGTGCTGACAGGTTCACGCAAGTTGCGTGCGGAGGCGGCGGAGTTTCATCCAAGTGGAATTTCATGTCACGGGCCTGGTGGTTATGAAGCCGGAAACACGCAGATCGACAGCTTATCAAGCCTTCTTCGCGGCCTGGGCGGCGGCGCCACCCCCACGCAGCCCTTCCCAGCGCTATGGCATTCCCACCGAGCTTTTCATTCTGCCATGACGCCCTCCCTATCCTATACCTCCCTCCTCACGAGCGCCTGCCCGGAGGACGATGAAATACGACGAAGCGGAACAAACGCGGCCTCCCCGAACACCATCGTCAGTGAGGCGGAGTACTCGATAGCAGACCCCACCGCCGTCCCTTTCACAATAACAGCAACGACGTTGCGCGCGAGGGGCCACGGGTGTGAATTCCCCAGCGCCCCCCAAGCTGCTCCCCATCCACCCCCGTTAAGCCCTCTCAGGACCCGCCAAGAGGAGCGGCAGGCCCCTCTACGGACGCCCCCGGATGCCCCCGGCGGGTTACGCGGCACGGCGGAGACCGGGACCTCCCCTGCCCATGGGAAGCTCTCGCCTGGGACGACGGAGTTCTCCCCGGGGTCTTTCCCCTCCGGGAACACGAGCGGCCGGCGGCCCCGGTGGGGGATGTCACAGGATGCGTCGCCACACCTGTCACAGAGCCCCCTCCCGGCGGAGGAAGCGGGCAGGGAGCTGTCCTGGCCGCGGGTGGCGGCCAACAGCCCGGGCGGGAGGGGGTCTCCGAATTTTCTTCCCGGCGTGAATTGGCCCTTTTTGCGCTGGGTGGGCGGAGGGGAGAGCATGAATAGCCCCCACCAGGGCGTCACGGCACGCGAGGAGCGGGGAGATACTGTGCGCCTCACTCACATCGCCGTTGCCGACGATGTCGCGCAGGATGAAGAGCTCATGTACGGCCTCCTCGCCGACGCCGACGCCAACGCCGAGGATCTTGAAGACGAGATTTTATATCTGAGGGAAGAAGCACACGCGGACGGCTGTGGGGGAGTGGGTTTAAACCACTATCATTTCAGTCCTTCCAGCAACGGAGATTGGGACACGCGCAGCACCGCCTCCACGCACTCGCACGTCCTCCATGAAAGTCGTCTAGGCGGGTACTGGAGTCTAGAGGGGCCGAGGATGATGGAGGCGACAAGGCTCTACCCCCCCTCCCACTATAACGGCATGCCCACGGTGGAGGCAGTTGAAAACGCATCATCCGCCTATCACATTGGAGGAATTGGAAATACCGCCACCACCCGTCTCCCGCACCGCACCCCGTCCACCTTCACGATGGACTACGACGATTATGGCGATATCTGGAAGGTCGATAGCAGCTCCGATGAGGATAGTTTAGACGAGGAGCAAGTGCAGTGGATAGAGGAGCAGCTCCGCTCCAACGAGAACCCAAAGGCCTTTTTTTGAACAGGATATGTAACTGAAGGGACCCTTTCTCTCCTCCCCTTTCCATCAATCTATCTCTGCACTCGTGCTTTGTGAAAAATATGCTCACATCCATCCGAACGTATAGACCTATGAATGTTCAATACGGGTAATGAAATGGTCGGTGCCTATCTGCTATTAGTTGATCCACAGGCTAGCACTGTTGGAAATCCATTCGAAGTAAGTAACTATAAGAGGAGCGAGCGAAGGAAGTGGGTGGTGTTGCCGAGGCCTTCCAAAAAAGGGTAGGCCTTAAGAGAATGAAAACAAACAAATCACCGCAATAGCAGCAACCATCGGATGTGGCTTGATATGCGTGAATGTTAAAAGGGATTAGCCTAAATGAAATAATAGGGTTAGCCACCGGAAATTAAACTGTCAGGTGTTTGTCTCATCAGCGTCTATTTTATTTTTATTTTTTCTTTTATAACTAAATATCACAGAATGAGCACACCTCATGGTGTAACGAAGGTGGCCTGGGCAGACCCTGAAAATCCCGCGTCACGGTTAAATTTATCCCTCTTCCCTTCCGCCAATTTTTTACGGCTCACCATGAACAAATGATGGGAGGAATAGTAAATTTTTTATTGCTACTATTGTGGCAAAGAGTGAAATAAAGTTTCCTTTCAACGCTAAAGGAATTTGACGAGGAAGGGAGAGATTCGTCAGGGTCAGGGTAAAGCAATTGCTGTAGATCCCTTTTTTTAAAACTTTATTTTTCCTCCAAAAGGAGGGTATTTTTATGATTCCCACTTTTCCAAAAAAAAGCATACTGCTTTATCTGAATATGTTGCTTTGTCATTTCAGCCTCCATCACTCATCCCCCTGTTTCATAATCATTTCATATTGGACTTCATGTTTCAAAAGTAGTTACATCTACTTTCTCTTTCCTCTCTCTCTCTCTCGCTTGCCTGTCTGCCCCTTGATTCGACCAACGATTGTTTCGTTATTTTCCCGACGAGACTGAGTGGGTAAGGAGAGAAGGCCTCCGGACAAAATCTAACCCCAAAAAAAAACAAACTAGAACACAAAGCCCCTAGTGACCATGGAAGCAGCGACCCCATCCAGCCCTCATTCGTCGCCCAAAGGCTCCGCTCGGATGGTATCCGACGCAGCGATCCACGCGAGGATGCGCGACACCCACTGCATGGATCTCGGCGGCGATGGCGGCGAGCGCGGCGGCTCCGAGGCGCTCGCGGCGCGGATCGCCGGCCCCCCTGCGGCCGCCTCCGCCACCCCACCCGCGGTGTGGTGCGTGAGCACGGCGAAGCACGGCAACGGGGTGACGAACCTCCTCAGCTGGGGGAACTTCCACACCTACTGGCAGTCCGATGGCGTCCTGCCGCACTGCATTCGCGTGGACTTCGCCGCGCTGCTCGCGGTCGAGGCGGTGCTGCTGCTCCTCTCCCACGCCTGCGACGAGAGCTACACGCCGCGGGTGGTAACGATCCGGGCCGGGTGCGGCGCGGCGGATATGATGGAGGTCGGGCGAGGGGTCTTTGAAAGCCCCGAGGGCTGGGGCTGCATCGATCTCGGCGAAGAGGAAGAGGAGGCGGAGAAGGCGAAGGATCCTGATCCTGGCAACGGCAGAGTGGCTCGAGGAGGTGACCTCGCGAGTCGGGGGGTGTGGTGTACCCGTTTGGAGATCATCATCGTTGAGAATCGCGATAATGGCAGGGATTGCCACGTGCGCGGGGTTAGAATACTAGGGCCTTGTCAAGAGCCCGCCTGCACCTACCCCGCCTCCACAAGAAACCTCCTTTTGCGTTAGAATAACATTATGGTATATAAAGGGTGGAGAAGAGAGAACGCGGTCGGGAAGAGGGGGAGGAGGGATGTCCACAAGTAGAGGAAAGAGAATGTTGTGTAAACTCAAAGAAAATGGCAAGAGGTTTATGTTTTCTGTTTGCTGCAGGCGCTATTTAGAACATTACTGTCGATTAATCAAATCCGGCAATTACGCAAAAACTCATGCGAGTATGTTAACTTTCCCTCATATCAGTCTTCTAATCTAACCATGCTCTGTGCCGATCGCTGTTCCTAATTTTTGTGTGTGTCATCTTTATGATTTATTACAGGGTTGTTCTATATACTAGCTTTTGTATTTTACACATAGCCTGTATCTATATCCATCTTCGAAGGAGCTTAATCCACGAAAGTGCGCCTTGGTGTTTCCTCCTCTTTCTTCTCTACCGCCTAGTGGCGCAGTGGCCCTGACATCGATATCGCAACCGCGCATTGTTATAAAACTACTTTCGACTCTTTTGACTGCACGAGGGGCCACGTCCTGGTGACCCCGCGCGATAGAATTAATTAGGAAAAGTTGTTGCATGAAACTAAAACGCCCTTGAATATGTGTAGTGGTGTCAATCCTCGGTTCCACAACCTCCATTAAAGAAACTGCAATTCCCGAGGATAGGTGATCAAAAACACTTCTTTTATTATCAACTAAATCGGGGCATCGAAGCGATTCACATCAATTCTAAGATTCTTTACCCGAAAAATATCCTTCTCTTTCGTAGCAACCCCGAGAATGCGAGCATTCATGAGAGGGTACCAACCTCTTCGATCAGATTAAGCGATGCCACAACGCGAAACTGTTCAATTTTCTTACAGACGCCTTCAATGCACAGCGGAAACAGACCTGATTTCATTCATTTTTCTTCTATCGGTCAGATTGGGCGTCTGAGTAAGATATCCAACAAAGGCCCGCTCGGGAGACTTGACAGGAAAAAAGATCCGAGGATGCCATCGCCCGTACTCTTTAAAGTGTCCACGCATTAGCTTATATTCAAAAGGAATATTGTCAAAAAAAATCAGGATAGACATAACACTGTCGTGCACGCCTGTCGAAAAACCAAACATGGTTACAACATATTAGCTAACCAGAAGCTCCTAACGATCATCTAGGAACCAATAACAACAAAAGTACAGAAACAACGTAGTAGACAGGTGAAGAAAATGTTATCGTACTCGTAGGCTCTTACACCTACATCGACATAATCGGACAGGCTAAAAAATAAGGTACTAGTGAATTACAATGCTCAGAGAATCATCTAAAACACGCAGCAAAAATCAACAGCAGACAAATAATAAATCAAAACAATTGGCACACCATATTCACAGGCAATAAACAACAAAAAATGATAATTAAAAATAAAAATTAAATAAGCATTCAAATATATAGAGAGAGAAAGAGAATAAATAATCAAAAACACAACTACATAACAACAATGCTATAAAAATAGGTCTCC